TAGAAGGCAGCTCTGTTACTCTGTCCTACAAATATGACCAAAAAGCATCAGGAAGTGATGAGTTTTACTGGTATCGACAAAATCCAGGAAAACCACCAGAGTTCCTGATCTCTCATTTAGGATCAGGATCTATTGGAACAGAAAAAGTCAGCGGACTGAAGATTGAAGTGAAGGATAAAGACATTAAAATGCAGATCTCCTCTGCTGCAGTGACAGACTCTGCTGCGTACTACTGTGCTGTGAGGCCCACAGTGACAGGAAACAGCACAACTCTGTACAAAAACCTCTGGAACAAAGACAAAACAATACTCCACAACATCCACCAGAGGGACTCACACACTGTTTCACTACTATAGTTTGTCTGCAGTCAGATGAGATTATTTGAGACTGCACATCTTAAGTTGTGTGAAAAGGATTAAATCTGACATGTTTTACAGAGCAGCAGCTTTTAAGGTGCATGTATATAAGCCTTTGAAAAGAGTATTGAATTAAATATTCACATGCCTATACAGAGCTGATCTCTAATAGGACGTGTAGAAAAAAATGTTTTACAATAGTAAAGCTTCTATTTGATCTGTGTGCTGAAAAGAGAATTCTATCAGTGGGAAGCAGGACACCAGATGTTATTTCATACCAGAATCCTTTGGAGGTACAAATACTGTTTAAACCACAAAACAATCACTGACTTCAGCCTCCTACTGATGCCTGCTGACACCTGCTAAGAAGCAGGACACCAGAGGTTTTTTATACCAGAAACCCCTAAATGAGTCAATCAAACTCTGAATTGGTCTAAAAACCTTTCAGTAATTGTAAGTTTCATAGGTTTAATGGACCATTTCCCCACACAATGTACAATTTACTGGTACATGAGAACATTTCAATTCAAACTTATACCGTTTATTCTACAAGGAGTGACAGATCCACATCAGCAGCTCCACTTCTGCAGCTGCTGCAAACACAGTGGAACACGGACACAAACTCACCAGATGTGCATCGCTTTGCATGACGTTAACATTCATTTTAGTCTCTGACAGAAGATGTCCGGCTAAATCCAGCAGCTTCTGTAGGTGATATCCAGAAAAAGCTGTGCCCAGCAGCCTGAAGGCTTTCCCCTGTAAAGGGCAGCTTTTCCTCCAGCAGAGGGCTCCATCCTCAGCAGGCGGAGCTCTGCTTCTGCTCTGTGTTCCAGCTTTCTGTCTATAAGAACTGCTGCTGTGCAGAGAACAATTGTCAGACTGAATGTTGAACTTCAGCTAGTTTCTCCTGCTGACTGAAACCTTGTTGAACAGATGGAACATTGGCTGTGGATTCTTCTTGCTGCTCTTGTCTTTGGTGAGATCAACATGTTTCCTTTTCAAACATGCGAAGACTTTGCTGAGCTTGAAGAGCTTTTAATGTTGATTGCACAGAAAATCCCAGCAGATCATTTCTGCTGCCTTTTGGTAGCATGTAAAAACTCCTTCTCTGGTTCAAAGGGGAAATGACATCTGTCCTACATGGAATAGAAGCTTTAAAGCTGCTGCTTGTTCTCCTGTAATCATCTGTCCTGATTCATCTCTTCCTCTGCATGTTCTGTTCTTCCTCAGAGTGTAAAGGACAAGACACAGTGACCCAGCAAACAGGAGATGTTACTGCTGCTGAAGGAGGCTCAGTCACACTCAGCTGTACTTTCAGCACGAGTGATAAATATCCTTATTTATTTTGGTACAAACAAGAAGCAAACAGCTCTCCAAAGTACATGCTGAAACGATACCCAAGCAAAGCATCAAAAGAAGATAATGCTCCGGAGTTTAGGGATGAAAGATTTGATGCTGAGCTGAGCGATAAATCAGTTCCTCTGAGGATCCAGAAGCTGCATGTGTCTGACTCTGCTGTGTACTACTGTGCTCTGCAGCCCACAGTGACAGGAAACAGCACAACTCTGTACAAAAACCTCTGGAGCAAAGACAACACAATACTCCACAACATCCACCAGAGGGCCTCACACTCTGTTTCACCTCTACAGTTTGTGAAAAATAGCCAGAATGCTCAATTTTCCAACACCATGTTTGCTGCATGCCTGCACCGTAGGTGGTTATAAAAGTTATATTTCATGATGAATAATGGAAAAATTTCAAAACAAACAAACTGGAACACATATTTGGAAAACATGCTCCCACTTTAGAGTTTTCAGCACAAAACATGAATAGATTGTGGAATTTCCACAGTGATCATTAATTTCCCACTGATTGAAACTTATCCCACATGTTTTACAGAACAGCTGCTTTTCACCTGCTCAGATGTCTGTTTTAAAGATGATCAGTTCTACGATGTGTTTTTAACAAGCTTTGAAATGTTTAAGTAACTGATCTTTGAGTGTCATTTTAAAAAACACTTTTCCCTTTAACATTTACCACATGTTTTACAACAAATCTTTTTAACATGAAAAAGAGAAACAGATTTTACTTTGTTTGAATTCTGGGATTTTTTCTAATTGAAAGAAGTTCTACGATGTGTTTTTAACATGTTTTGAAACATTAAAGTTCCTGAACCTTGAGAACTCATTTGGAAAAACAAATACCCCTTTTAACAGTTGTTAAACTGTTACTGCTATTTTTTTTATTATTGTTTAAACCACATAAAGGAATTTCATGGGGGAAATAATTTATGCTTGCAGAGACATTCACTTATAAATTTGAGATCTTCTAATGAATTTTTATTTTAATTAATTCAGTTTCCTTCTTTATCTTGCTTCTAACCTTCAGAGTTGTGCAAATATATGTTATACAAACTTAAATAAATGGGTTTGGTTTTCCATGAAGCCTTTGCTTTCAAACTAAAGTAAAAATGAAGTGTCCTTCTTTTTATTAATACCATTTCTGGATGAAAATAGTCTGATTCATGAGGAGAAATTTGCTGGAGTCAGAAATCCAAACTTCACACATGAAGACCTTAATGGGATTCAGACCAGGAAGCCTGTAAGAGTGAAGTGATGAGGAAACACCTCACCAACTTTGTGCACCTCTTTATTCGTGGACTGGACCTTCAGTGTAATCTGGGCCTCTAAAGTAAAAAAGATCAAGTCATTGAGAAACATTGATTGAATTTCCACACTCTGCCTTCTTGTTAACATTGCTCTACATGTATTAGAAAATAATGTTGAGTAGTTTTATTTTTCTTAGCTATGAACAAAGTATAACATTTTCTGAAACTTATCCCGGATGTTTTACAGATCTTCTTACCCTTAAAAAATTATGACATTAAAAACCAATGAGCCATTAAATCTTCTATTATATTCACTTTAGCAGCACAGCTTCATTACAGCCTTTTTTGAACACATTTACCACATGTTTTAGAGGAGTAAAGCTTCTCGTTGATCTTATTTGTTGAGCAGAGAATTCTATCAGTGGGAAGCAGGACACCAGATTTTTTTTATACCAGATACCCCAAAATAAATCAATCAAACTCTAAAGTGGTCTCTGAGGAACTGATTTTATTTTAAATAATGGAGCTGATCCAAAAGCAGGAATTTCTCTCAACTTATATTTTCAGTATGGATCACTAAACTGTTAGCAGGAGTAAGAGGAGCAGAGAGAAGAGAAAGTACAGATCAGAGAGGAGACGGAGAGATTCAGGGAGGAGCTGAGCTGCTTCTGAACTGTAGAAGAGACACAAAGTTCCACATTCACCACAGTTCAACACACAAAGCACAAACATCAACTTTATCCAGCATGGACTATTACGTACTTTCTCTACTTATCATCAAGATTCTCACAGGTACGTTACATCAGCGTGAATTATAAATTCATTCTAAAATATTTTATGAACATTTAAAACGGTTTTCTCTCTTTAGGTGTCAGCTGTGAAAAACTGTCTGCAGAGGAGAAGGAAGTGTCAACTTTAGAAGGCAGCTCTGTTACTCTGTCCTACAAATATGACCAAAAAGCAACCATCAATGAGTATTTCTACTGGTACCGACAATATCCAGGAAAACCACCAGAGTTCCTGATCTCTCATTATGGAACAGGAAAAGAAATATCAGATCCAGTTGATGGACTGTCTTATAAAGTGAGTGAAGATAAAACACAGATGGATCTGCAGATCTCCTCTGCTGCAGTGACAGACTCTGCTGTGTACTACTGTGCTGTGAGGCCCACAGTGACAGGAAACAGCACAACTCGGTACAAAAACCTCTGGAGCAAAGACAACACAATACTCCACAACATCCACCAGAGGGACCTCACCTCTATAATTTATGAAGAATAAACCCAAGTGTTTTGAACAGTTGAAAGTAGGCTGAGAACATATTTTTGTTATCACAAAAGTAAAATCAAATGTATTTAATTATGATGACTATATCCCCTTAGTCACACATCAAGTTAATATAATCTGATTTATCACACGATAAATTTCCTAAAACAAAAGCCATAAAATTTTATTTAATGAACAGTGACCACATACAGTTATAAAGGTCATTCTAAAGTCTAACTGTGTATTACATAATAAACACTATTTATATAATTTTGACTTGGTCATGAGAGTGTTTTGAATTTGAATGTAAATAACATTTTATGATCCCTTCATGTGTCTGGATTAATCTTTCTGAATGTCCACAGTGACCAGTAAATTCCCTCTGAATGAAATTTATACCACATGTTTTACAGAGCAGCTGCTTTTCAGTTGTATGTCTATAATAATTTCATTCTAAAATCGAGTACCACAGGATTTAAAAGGATGAGTTTCTGTCATGGCTACTTGTAGCCAATAAACACCTGAAAGCAGAGTGATCTGAGGTCACAAAAACACTCAGCCTTCCTGTTCACATTTCTCTGCATGTGTTAGTAGTTGTGATCAGTCTGAACTTTCATAGCTATAAACAAAGTATAACATTGTCTGAAACCTATCCCAGATATTTTACACAGCTTCTTACCTTAAAAAATGTATGACATTTAAAAGATAATCAACCATTAGATCTTCTTTTATATTTTTTGTAGTAGCACAGTTTCTTTATAGTCCTTTGATTGACACTTTTACCACATGTTTTGCAGGAGTAACGCTTCTCTTTGATCTTTGTGTCGAGCAGAGAATTCTAGTGGGAAAATGCTTTCCCTGTACGTGGATAAGGTCTGATTTAAACACTCTAAAGACAGATTAAAACAACACACCCTCAAACAGATATATTGGTTTTACTATCACCACAGACCTCCAGGGAGACCTGGGCCATTAATTTGGAATATAAGTGAGTCTGACATCTATATAGCCTGAGAGATACAGTTGGTAACATTAACTTTAACTAACTGAACGTGTTTCTCTGCTACCAGAATCTCTGTCCAGGATGCATTTGGGTTGTTTGAGTTTGAACAAAGAGGATTTTCTCAGGTTGTTTCAGGTGGGCTTTCTGGACATTCTTCCACCAGACTAACCTTTCTGGAGGATGATGATGGCGGTTGTGGCGTCAGCATCACTGTTTTTCTACAGCTTCCATCAGCCTGAATGGAAACAGAACACAGAGGAGGAGGAGCTACAGCTGAATATGAAAGGCCTCATGTTGGAACTGAGGAGCTGCTGTGTTCTCTCTGCTGTTCACTCACAACAAGAGAAAATAATGCTTCTGCTTTTCATTTGGATGATGACGGTCTCCCTTCAGACAGGTAAGTCAACCAAGATGGAAGCTTATGTCAAAACATGACAGAGAAAAACATTTAGCTCCTGTTTGACCTAACTTTTTTCTCAAATTAAAATGATATTAAATAAAAAGTATTCAAATCCCAACATAATGCTTTTTCCTGTCTTTGTTGCTTTCAGGATCCTCTGAGGATTTACTGACACCATTTAAATCTGTGCAGATGGGTTTGGAAGGAGAGACTCTGACTCTCTCCTGTAACTATTCAGGTTCTGTAAATTATCTCTTCTGGTACCGACAGAGTTCAGGTTCATCTCCACAGCTCATCATCTCAGGATTTTCAGATCAAACTGGAGAAAAGTTTTCTTTCAAACACAAAAACAAACAAAAGGAGTTTGATCTGCAGATCTCCTCTGCTGCAGTGACAGACTCTGCTGTGTACTACTGTGCTCTGCAGCCCACAGTGACAGGAAACAGCACAACTCTGTACAAAAACCTCTGGAGCAAAGACAACACAAAACTCCACAACATCCACCAGAGGGACTCACACACTGTTTCACGTCTATAATTTATCAAGAGTAAACCAAAGTGTTTTGAACAGTTGAAAATAGTTAGAGAACATCTTTTTACGATCATAAATGTAAATGCAAATATATTTAATTAAGATGACTATACCCCCTAAGTCGCATATCAAGTTAATATAATCAGATTTATCATACGATGAAATTCCTTAAAAAACAGCAATGAAATGTTCCTTAATGCATAGAGACCACATACAGCTATAAAGGTCATTCTTAATTCTAACTGTGTAACAGATGACAAACTATATTTAAATCTCTTTGACCTGCTCAGCAGAGTGTTTTGAATATATAAATGTAAATAACATTTTAGGATCCCTTCATGTGTTAGAACTAATCTTTCTGATTTCCACAATGACCAATAAATGTCCTCTGAATTAAACTTATCCCTCATGTTTTACAGAGCAGCTGCCTTTCAGCTGCATGTCTTTAAGCCTTTGAAAAGATTATTAGCTGATTGAAAAGCATAAATTGCTCTCCACCTATTGATTCAGTATGGAGCTACTAAATTGTTTAGCAGGAAGAAGAGGAACTGAAAGAAGAGAAAGTACAGATCAGAGAGGAGACGAAGAGATTCAGGGAGGAGCTGAGCTAGAAGAGACACAAACTTCCACATTCAACACACAAAGTACAAACATCACCTTTATCCAACATGCTGTCTTTGCAGACATTTGGATTCACTCTGCTGTTTATGCTCATTGTAACAGGTTTGTTTGATTCTTTAAAGACACATTTCATCATTTTTTCTTTGTTCTTCACTTATTTGACTACTCTCTTCCTTTAGGTGTCAGCTGTGAAAAACTGTCTGCAGAGGAGAAGGAAGTGTCCACTTTAGAAGGCAGCTCTGTTACTCTGTCCTACAATTATCCCAAGCTGACAACTAGTAATTATTTCTTCTGGTATCGACTATATCCAGGAAAACCACCAGAGTTCCTGATCTCTCACTCAGCATCAGGATTAACTGGAACAGAAAAAGTCGGATGATTGAAGATTGAAGTGAAGGATAAAGACGTTAAAATGCAGATCTCCTCTGCTGCAGTGACAGACTCTGCTGTGTACTACTGTGCTGTGAGGCCCACAGTGACAGGAAACAGCACAACTCTATACAAAAACCTCTGGAGAAAAGACAACACTATACTCCACAACATCCACCAGAGGGACTTAGACACTGTTTCACTGCTATAGCTTATCAGCAGTCAGATGAGATTATTTGACAATGTGCATGTTGAGCTATGTGAAAAGGATTAAAACTGAGATGAGGCTAAGATTTTTCCACACTCTGCCTTTTTGTTCACATTTCTGTCCATATATTAGAAAATAATTTGATTAGTCTGATTTTTCATAGCTATGAACAAAGCATAACATTGTCTGAAACTTATCCCGCATGATTTACAAATCTTCTTACCCTTAAAATGTTATGACATTTAAAACCAATGAGCTATTAAATCATGTTTTGTATTGTTTTTAGCAGCACAGCTTCATTACAGCCTTTTAGGGACACTTTTATCTCATGTTTTATAGGAGTAAAGCTTCTCTTTGATCTGTGTGTTGAGCAGAGAATTCTATCAGTTGGAATCAGGACACCAGATGTTATTTATTAAACTCTAAAGTAGTCTAAAAGTGTTGCTGAGGTTCTGAAGGCTTTCTGAAACCTTTGCCCACACATTTTACAATTGTACTGATACATGATAGATTTAGATTAAAACTTATAACATATGTTTTATAAGAAGTGAAGACATTTCAGTAGAGATGTTTTTCATTTAAATAATTAAACGATAAAAAGTACAATCCATTGGAGGAACAAATACTGTTTAAACCACAATACAATCACTGACAGCTGACATCTTCTAAGAAGCAGGACACCAGAGGTTTCTTATATGATAAACCCTGAAATAAGTAAATCAAACACTAAACTTGTCTAAAATACTGCAAGTAATGCTGACATTCATGGAGTTTTATGAAACCTTAACCCACACATTGTACAATTTTACTGGTATATCGAAAAATTTCAATTGAAACTTATACCGTATATTTTACAAGCAGTGAAGACATCTCTGAAGAACTTCTGTTTTTTATTTTCAAATCCTTTAGCTGCATAAATTGCTCTCAACCTATTGATTCATTATAGAGCTACTAAAATGTTTAGCATGGGAAGGAGGAGCTGAGAGAACAGAAAGTACAGATCAGAGAGGAGACAGGGAGATTCAGGGAGGAGCTGAGCTGCTTTTGAAGTGTAGAAGAGACACAAACTTCCACATTCACCACAGTTCAACACACAAAGCACAAACATCAACTTTATCCAACATGGACTATTACGTACTTTCTCTGCTTATCATCAAGATTCTCACAGGTACGTTACATCACAGTGAAATATAGGTTCATTCTAAGCTGTTTTATGAAAATTTAAAACGGTTTTCTCTCTTTAGGTGTCAGCTGTGAAAAACTGTCTGCAGAGGAGAAGGAAGTGTCCACTTTAGAAGGCAGCTCTGTTACTCTGTCCTACAAATATGACCAAAAAGCATCTGGAAGTGATGAGTTTTACTGGTATCAACAATATCCAGGAAAACCACCAGAGTTCCTGATGTCTCATTTAGGATCAGGATCTATTGGAACACAAAAAGTCAGCGGACTGAAAATTGAAGTAAAGGATAAAGACGTTAAAATGCAGATCTCCTCTGCTGCAGTGACTGACTCTGCTGTGTACTACTGTGCTGTGAGGCCCACAGTGACAGGAAACAGCACAACTCTGTAGAAAAACCTCTGGAGCAAAGACAACACAACACTCCGCAACATCCACTAGAGGGACTCACACACTGTTTCCCTTTTATAGTTTTTGTGCAGTCAGATGAAATTCTTTGACACTGTGCATGTTGAGCTGTCTGAAAAGGATTGAAAACTGATAGATGATGTTAATATTTTTCCACATTCTGCCTTCTAGAAAATAATGTTGAGTAATTTCATTTTTCATAGCTATGAACAAATTATAAAATTTTCTGAAACTTATCCCGGACGTTTTACAGATCTTCTTACGCTTAAAAAGTTATGACATTTAAAACCAATGAGCCATTAAATCTTCGTTTATATTCTTTGAAGCAGCACAGCTTTATTACAGCCCTTTTAGGGACACTTTTACGCATGTTTTAAATGATCAAAGCATCTCTTGGATCTATGTGTTGAGCAGAGAATTCTATCAGTGGGTATCAGGAGACTAGATTTTTTTTTATTACAGAAACCCTGAAATAAGTCAATCAAACTCTAAGGTGGTCTAATATTCTATAAATGTTGCTGAGGTTCTCAAAGATTTGTGCAACCTTTTCCCACACATTTTACAATTTTACTGATACATGATAAATTTCAAATAAAACTCATTCCGTACGTTTTACAGTAAGTGAAGAAATTTCTGAGTAACTTTTTTTTCTTTTTAATAATATAGCTGATAAAAAGCAGAATTTGTCGGAGGAACAAATACTGTTTAAACCACAAAACAATGACTGCCGTCAGCTTCTTACTGATGACCCTTTCAGCTGACACCTGCTAAGAGGCAGAACACCAGAGGTTTTTTTATACTAGAAACCCAGAAATAAATCAATCAAACTCTAAACTTGTCTAAAATACTGCAAGAAATGCTGAGCTTCATAAAGGTTCTGTGGAAACTTTTCCTACACATTGTACAATTTTCCTGGTACATGGGAACATTTTAATTGAAACTTATACCGTATATTTTACAAGAAGTGAACACATTTCAGAAAAACTTCTGTTTAAAAAAACTCCTTTAGCTGATTGAAAAGCATAAATTTCTCTCCACCTATTAATCCAGTATGGAGGTAGTAAACTGTGTAGCAGGAGGAAGAGGAGCTGAGAGAAAAGAAAGTACAGATCAGAGGGGAGACGGAGAGATTCAGGGAGGAGCTGAGCTGCTTCTGAACTATAGAAGAGACACAAACTTCCACATTCAACACAGTTCAACACACAACGAACAAACATCACCTTTATCCAACATGCTGTCTTTGCAGACATTTGGATTCACTCTGCAGTTTCTGCTCATTGTAACAGGTTTGTTTGATTATTTAAAGACACATTTCAGCATTTTCTCTTTGTTCTTCACTTATTTGTTTTCTCTCTTCCTTTAGGTGTCAGCTGTGAAAAACTGTCTGCAGAGGAGAAGGAAGTGTCCACTTTAGAAGGCAGCTCTGTTACTCTTTCCTACAAATATGACCAAAAAGCAACTGGAAGTGATTACTTTTTCTGGTATCGACAATATCCAGGAAAACCACCAGAGTTCCTGATCTCTCATTCAGGTTCAGGAGGAAAAATATCAGATCCAGTTGATGGACTGTCTTATACAGTGAGTGAAGATAAAACACAGATGGATCTGCAGATCTCCTCTGCTGCAGTGACAGACTCTGCTGTGTACTACTGTGCTCTGCAGCCCACAGTGACAGGAAACAGCACAACTCTGTACAAAAACCTCTGGAGCAAAGACAACACAATACTCCACAACATCCACCAGAGGGACTCACACACTATTTCACTTCTATAGTTTGTGAGCAGTCAGATGATATTCTTAAAGACGGTTCATGTTGAGCTGTGTGAAAAGGATTCAAACTTAGAGATGAGGCTAAAACCTTTCAACATTCCGCCTTTTTGTTCACATTTCTCTATTTATGTTTGAACTGAATTCTGATCAATCTGAACTTTTATAGCTATGAACAAAATATAACAATGTCTAAAACTTATCCCAGATGTTTTACAGATTTTCTTACCGTTAAAGTTATGACATTTAAAACCAATGAACCATTACATCTTCTTTCTTTTTTTCGTAGCAGAAAAGCTTCTTCACAGCCCGTTGAGGGACACTTTTGCCACATGTTTTACAGGAGTAAAGCTTCTTTTTGATTTATGTGTTGGGCAGAAAATTATATCAGTGGGAAGCAAGACAACAGATGTTTTTATACCATAACCCCAAAATAAGTAAATAAAACTCTAAAGTGGTCTAAAATACTGTAGGTGTTGCTGAGGTTCTGAAAGCTATGTCCAACCTTTTCCAACATGTTTTCCAATTTTACTGTTACATGATACATTTCAATTAAAACTTATACCACATGTTTTACAAGAAATGAAGAAATTTGGGAGGAACTTTTTTTCATTTAAATAATTAAAGAACATTTGGAAGAACAAATACTGTTCAAACCAAAAAACAATTCT